TTCAAAGGCCCCCGGGAGATTCTAGAACTGCTGCAGTGCCGGACAGGGGTGGGAGTCAGACGTGGAGGGAGACGGGGGGGCCGGGTTTTTTGAGTGTGTCTGTCCCTGCCCTGCCCTCCCCACTCCCAGTTCAGAGCCTCCCTGACGCTCCTGAGCTGTCCCAGCCTTCTGAACCGTGGGGAAGGAAGAGCATGTGGGGCAGAGGGTGAGAATGGGCTGGCCCCATGACCCGTCTAGCCCGCTCCCACCGGTGCTTCAGGGCCTGGTGCTGATACGCCCTCCCTTCCCCTTTGTCTCCCACTTTGGGGGAGGTGATTTTGTCGTATAGGAACATAGGTTTGCTGCACCCAATCAGACCATCGGTCCAGCAGCACACCCACCCATGGGACTCAACACAGGACAGAGGAAGGCTGGTCCAGTTGTTAGGATGCTAGCCTTGGTCTTCGGAGACCTGGCTCCAGTTCCCGGCTCTGCTGCGGACTCCCTGTGTAACCCTGGGCCAATCACTTAGCTTCTTTCTCGGTGCCTCGGTTTCCCCATCTGTACAACGCCCAGATGCTACAGTGATGGGGGGAGGGGCAGAGAAGTACCATAAACAGGTGATGCTTCAGAGGGAGACAAAATTCCCACAATTATGGTAGAAATAGGCCTGCAACAGAACCCCAGAAACCCTCTGTGAGCCCTCCAGTTCCGATCCAGGTTCAAGGTGTGGGCCCATCTCGACTCATGATGCACCTGGACCCTGTGTGAGCCGGCGTCTTGCCATGTTGGATCAGCGCCCTCTGCCAGTTGTGTGTAGCAGGAGGAAAATCCATACCCCCTGCTGTGATCATTTCATGTGAATCTCGGAGCATGAGATTCGATTACCTGCCAGTCTTAACAGGCGTAGCTGCAACCGGCCATTACCGCTCGCAAAATGACCCAGCTGCAAAAGGAAAGAGAAGACGGCGATACTAAGAAAGAAAGAAAGAAAGAAAGAAAGAAAGAAAGAGGGAAGAGTCTTTTTTCCAAAGCCGAGATCTCTCTTTTTCTGTGGCACAGTTTAATTCCATTCCCCATCTCTCCGACTTTCTTAGGCAATAATAAATAATAAATCGTCACACATTCTAAACAGCCAAGACACACACACACACACAAGGGCATGTTATTTACAAAGGATTATTTTCCCCTCCACAGTTGTTTTTCACTTCTTTTTTTTTTTAAAAGTGCACAAACCCACAAATAAATAGCAACATTTATCAATAAATTAATTCAATAAATAGCCTTGTGGCACAGAGACGTGACTGATGAGTGAAGGAGGTGGCGGGTCGGCCCTGCTCTCCCCGTCCATCCGCTTCCCCTGCTGAACTGCGTGTGGATGGGAAATCCGTCCCTGTCTTCACTGTTCATAATGCCCTGCCATCCAGGGATCTCAAAGCACATGGTGGACGTTCGCTGACGAGTCTGCATGAGGCCGAGGTAGGTAGCATTCTCCCTGTTTATACAGAGCGGGAAACTGAGGCAGAGAGGAGGGAAGTGGCTCACCCCAGTGAATCAGCGGCAGAGCTGGGAACAGAGCCCAAAAGACCTGATTAGAACAGCGTGTTGGGAAAAAAACCCTCTTTTCATCAGTTTTGTCCACTGAATTTCATCTGAACCCTCAAATGGAACTGGAAAGGTTCAGCTATAGTGGCTGTGGTGAAATGCCTAGAGAGACAGATAGACATAAGATCATAGACAGATAGACACAGAGCGGGAGGGTGGATATGTAGATAAAAAGATATGTATTGTGATAGATGGATAGAGATGGGTGTGTCTGAGGATAGACAGACAGATAGATTAGATGGAGGAGTATGGAGATAGATGATAGATAGACAGATCGATAGATAGATGGGTGTGTATGGAGACAGATAGATGTGTATGGCGATTGACGATAAATAGATGTTCTGTCCCTGTAGACCCGTAGCCACAGGAATGATCCCACTGAAGCCAATAGATCGGTGGATTTTTGCAGGCTCAGACCCATAAAGTTCATGCTTGTTTACTCGTCAGCGCCAGCTCTTTTCGATTGGCGGCAGGCCCCGGGTTTTGTTTACAGTTCGCTCATGCAGCGATCGGATTGGTCAAACACCATTTCTCTTTGCTTCTAACGTCTACCAATCAGATTCTCTTTCTCCGACAATAACCAAGGCTTGGCTTTGCCATTGGAAAGGGGGGACGGATTTGCTGAGCTGGGCGGCTGGGGTTGGGTCCTAGGGAAGTGCAGGGCACCGCCTGACCCCCAGGGCTGGGGCCAGGACTCCCAGGAGGGGACTAGAGAGAGATCCTGCTCTGTGCAACAGCTTCAGTGGGGGGCTGGAATCCCTCACTGACTGCGGATGCCTTCACTTGGCCTGCTTCTCTGCTCCTGATTTACAACAGTGAGCATGAGAAGACAAGCAGCCCCATAGGTCAACGGCTTGGGTTGAGCTCGTCACAGCTGCCTGTGGGGTTTGGTCATCCAGTTCCCATTCATTTAGCTCCGTGGTTGTCATTTGCACCAGTGCAAACTGGGAGCACAGATCCCTCTAAGGTGGAGCTGCCCCAGCGCAAACCCATCGCAGATCATAGTTTACACCAGGGAGGCCCTGGATAAACTGCACTGGTGAAAACTGTGCTCTGTTGGGGTAAATTGTGTCCCACGAAGGGGTTAAAACTAGTGACTGGAATCCCAGTGGAGGCGAGGCCTGACACCTGCTTCGAAAGGGGGTTAATGACAACACAAGGTGCATGACAAACGAGAGTCGAGGCCTGAAGCCCTAAGAGAGGTGTGAATTAACTACTCCCATTCACTGCAACAGGATGTTCACTCTGGAGGCTAATGATGGCAATGTAGAGGTCAGCCTTACTTATTCACTGTGCACTGTTCATTACAGCAGACAAATCCAGTTGTCTGAGATTGTTGGTGTAGTTTGGAATTGTATCTGGAGCTTGAGTAGAGAGTCACCACGTTTCCCCCAGTTTGACCCCTCTTACTAGGGGCATCTATTTTGGGAAACATGAAACAGCCTTAGGGACCAGAGCCTGCTGCCATCAAACACTCACTGGGCTTGATTGCCTGTTGTCCACCTTGTCCAGTCACTTATACCCGTGCAAAGCAGGTGCAAAACACTCCTGAGTCAGGATGGGCACCGTTCACACTCACTTTGCACCAGTATAAACAACAGCAGGACGATGGAGATTGGAGCCTATTAACTGCAACGGGAGCAAACTCTGACCTTTGGGATGCTGAAGTGGGAACTGTATTGGGAGATTGAGATCCGGTCTTTGTGGTAGTTGGAGAAGGGATGGGGTCATGACAGAGGACAAGGTTTATGCCTTCCATTTTTGCCGCATGTTTGGTATTTCTTTTCAGGGCAGGAAAAGCCGGGAGTCCTGCGGCTGTGCAAGGAATGCCAGAGCTCACAGGGGGTCAAGCTCCCTTCCTTGTCTGCCTAGATCTGGGGGGTGCCGGGGGCGTCAGCTCAGATGGCGTGGCAGCCCCTCGAGACAGGGCCTTTTGGGAGCCCAGTATATGGTGCCAGCTCGGAGAAACGCAGCCAACAGAAAAAAGGCCTGAAATGTTCCTGCTGTTGGCACTTCACCAATCCAGGCCATGCCTCAGGTAGAAGAAAGAGTAGAGAGACACATGGGCTAGATCCCAGGGCTGTTGGTGCTGCTGTGGCTTGGATGTCCAGCTCGGGGTTCCAGTAAGAGATGGAGCAGACAGATGGATGGAGGGGTGGACAGACATGGGCTCGGAGGCTCAAGATGTCCCGGATGTGATTCAGGTAGCAGCTAGACAGATAGATGGATGTAGGCTTGGTGGCTCAGATGACCAATAGGAGATGTAGCAGAAACACTGACAGATACGTAGGCTCGGTGGCTCAGACTCCAGCAAGTAGTCAGGTAGGATATATGGTAAATGCATGGACAGACAGACAGAGATGGGCTTGGTGGCTCACACGTCTGACAGGATATGGAGAGAAATACGGACAGACAGATGGACAATCATTGGCTCAGACATCCAGCACGTGGTTCAGGTAGGAGATGCAGCAGACAGATGGACGTAGGCTCGGTGGCTCAGACGTCCAGCATGTGGTTCAGGTAGGAGATGTAGCAGAAAGATGGACAGATGAATGTGGGCTCTGTGGCTCAGACATCTAGCACGTGGGTCAGGTTGGAGATGTAGCAGACAGACGGACAGAGAGACGGGGGCTCAGCGGCTCTGATGTCCAGCACGTGGGTCAGGTGGGACATGTAGCAGACAGACAGACAGAGGGACGGGGGCTCGGCGGCTCAGACGTCCAGCACGCAGGTCAGGTCGGAGATGTAGCAGACAGACGGACAGAGGGACGGGGGCTTGGCAGCTCAGACGTCCAGCACGTGGTTCAGGTCGGAGATGTAGCAGACAGACGGACAGAGGGACGGGGGCTCAGTGGCTCTGATGTCCAGCATGTGGGTCAGGTGGGAGATGTAGCAAACAGAAGGACAGAGGGACGGGGGCTCGGCGGCTCAGACGTCCAGCACGCAGGTCAGGTCGGAGATGTAGCAGACAGACGGACAGAGGGACGGGGGCTCAGCGGCTCTGATGTCCAGCACGTGGTTCAGGTCGGAGATGTAGCAGACAGACGGACAGACGGACGTGGGCTCAGTGGCTCAGACGTCCAGCACGTGGTTCAGGTAGGAAATGTAGCAGGCAGACGGACAGAGGGACGGGGGCTCGGCGGCTCAGACGTCCAGCACGTGGGTCATGTCGGAGATGTAGCAGACAGACGGACAGACGGACGTGGGCTCGGCGGCTCAGACGTCCAGCACGTGGGTCAGGTCGGAGATGTAGCAGACAGACGGACAGACGGACGTGGGCTCAGTGGCTCAGACGTCCAGCACGTGGTTCAGGTAGGAAATGTAGCAGGCAGACGGACAGAGGGACGGGGGCTCGGCGGCTCAGACGTCCAGCACGTGGTTCAGGTCGGAGATGTAGCAGACAGACGGACAGACGGACGTGGGCTCGGCGGCTCAGACGTCCAGCACGTGGGTCAGGTCGGAGATGTAGCAGACAGACGGACAGACGGACGTGCGCTCAGTGGCTCAGACGTCCAGCACGTGGGTCAGGTCGGAGATGTAGCAGACAGACGGACAGACGGACGTGGGCTCAGTGGCTCAGACGTCCAGCACGTGGTTCAGGTAGGAAATGTAGCAGATGGCCAGCCTGAGGATCTCAATCTTGGAGAGCTTCTTGTCAGGGGGCAGGGTGGGCAGCAGCTTGCGCAGCTCAGCGAAGGCCATGTTGAAAGCCTCGACGCGGATGCGCTCCCGCGTGGCGTGGGCTGTCCGATACTTAGCCGTGGCACGCCGCCGCCGCCGCCGCTCCTCTCGGCTCAGGTGCTGCAGGTCCTTTTTCAGAGCCTCGCCCGGCTCAGCTAGCCGGGACTGGGCACACAAGCCGATGCCGCCGGCCTCCTCCACTCCGGCCCCACGGCCACCGCCCCCACCACAGTCGCTAAAGACTGACTCTGTCTCTGAGTGAGACGGGGGCACGTCGATTTCCGTCTGGTCTGAATTGAGCATCATCTTTTCAAAGGATGGATGGATAGATAGACGGATGGGTGTGTATCGGGATAGATAGATAGAGGGGGTGTCTGGAGATAGATAGATAGATAGAGGGGATGTCTGGAGATAGATAGATAGATAGATAGATAGAGGGGATGTCTGGAGATAGATAGGTAGATAGGTAGATAGATAGATAGATAGATTTCCAAAATAAAATTGCTCTGCTTCTAATATTTTGTTCTCTGGTTCACATGATCATCATTAAAAAAAAAAAAAAACCTTCCAAGGAAATTTCAAAGCTGATTCCTCTCTCCAGGGAATTAGTCACACGACCAACAATCTTCCAAATAAATAATTTAAATAAATTTCCAATAAATATATAAATTAAATAAATAAATCTCTCCTCTATGTGCGCGAGTCGATTGCAGGGCCTGTCTTCGGCACGCTGTGCAACGTGGTTTTCCTTCTTCAGATGTTAGTCTCTACAAATGCTTCCAAAGTGCTCTGGAAAACAGAAACAAAGGAGTTCTCACTAACTTTCTGCTCCCACTTAACAAAGAGAAAGAAAGCAAGCAAGAAAGAAAGAAAGTAAGTTTAATTCTTCTGTCCCTTTAGGACCAGCAAACAGTTCCAGTCACAAGCCAGCAAAGCATCCTTTCCCAGTGCAGAAAACGGACACAGCTCAACCCAGCAATGGCTGCCAGCAATGTGGGTGGGGGGCAGGGACTCAGGGGCTGCAGCAGCCCGTGGCTGCAGGGAAAGGCCCAGAGGGGGAGCCTGTGGAGAGGCTGTGGGACTAGATGGAAGCCGTTTCTCCTGGCTCTCTGGAGAGATGACAGGTGGTGGATTGGAGCGAGCGGGGAAAAGACAGACTGTGGGGGTGGGGGGGGCTTATTGTATATTAAATGAGCCCGTATGTCATGGATTCTGGCACCCCAGACATATGGAACCCAACACAGCTGCTTTGCTTGACGTGTCCAAATGGAAGTTGGCTCCCTGCTCCCCCCGGGACTCCGCATGCAGGCCAGGAACACTGGCTCTCCGTCTCCCCTCCCTCCGCTGCCTTCACAGCCGTGCTCTGCAGAGCCCCGGTCGCACACAGATGCTTCCAAAGCAGGGACTGTGGGTCTGGGGAAAGGGCAGGCCGGGCCTGACCCACCCCCTCCCAACCAGGCTGAGACAGAACCGGGCAAGGGGCAGAGCTGGAGGGGAAAGGGAAACAAAGTTTGGAGTGAGTGGAATGAAGAGGGGTTAGAAAGAAAGAGCTAGAGAGAGCTGTCACTGCTAGCAGAAACTGTACACTGGATAGACAGATAGATAGATAGATGGTGTGTGTGGGGATAGATAGATAGATAGATAGATAGATAGAGGGGGTGTCTGGGGATAGATAGATAGATAGATAGAGGGGGTGTCTGGGGATAGATAGATAGATAGATAGATGTGTATAAAATATTATTCTTGTATAACATCTTTTGCACATGGCAAGATGCTTTCGAATTCTAACAAGCCATATGATTATAAGAAACTGAAACGAATGGGTGAATAAACAGAATGGATAAACAGAGGCAATGAAATGAAAGAAATATTCTGAGTCAGACTTTAAAAGACTGACATGTACAGACACAGCCTCATGAATGTGTAGAAATGCACCCGGAGAAAGACATTTGCAAACACACACAGGGAAACTCACAGGTATATACACAGAAATTTGTACACACAAAAATACACCCCGAAAATCACACACAGAGAAATTAACCCACACAAAACCCACAACATATGTACACAGTAATTCACCTACACGCTCACACACACACACACACACACACACACACAGCATCACGCACATGAGAAACACAGACGCAATAATTCATCCAAACAGGCATGTGCACACAACACACACACAAATTCATATACACAAAACCACACACATATACACACACAGTAATTCGCCCACACACGTGTGCACACACAGAGAGAGAAATACATATACAGAGCCAAACTCACACAAATGTACACAGAGACGCACACAGAGACACACACACTTACACTGCAATCTGGGGAACACCTGTCAAATATGTTACCTAGAAATCTTGTACCAAATAAAATAAAAATCCAGAAAGCAAATTATTTCATTCATCCTGCACATTTTAATTAAAAACAAATTAAAAGTTATTCTAGCGAAGGTCGAGGGTTCGGGGAGCAAAGATGGAACCATTTTCGGGTGGAACTGCTTTCGGGCACTGCTTGTAGCTGGATCCAACGCCCCCTTCTCCCTCACAGCTCTGAGCTTTGCACCCTGAAGTGTGTGTGATGGAGGAGGAGCTGGGGGACCCTGGTCTGGGAGGAAGGGGAAACAGGGAGCACACAGAACCCCTGCAATGGTGGGAGATTGGGGAGAGTTGCTGGGACTCTCTAGAATAGAGGGGGCCGGGAGAAGGACACCCAGAGAGCTTGTGGGGTCGGGCTGGAGAGAAGCAGGGAGCCCCTGGGTTGTGCAATGAGCTACAAACTGTGCAACCCACTCGTAACTTACCCTCCTTATGGCAAGGCCCAGAAGCTTCCGTTCAGGTGTCAATCAAGAAGGCCCCAATCCAGCTGAGCGCGTCGGCATGTGTTTAAATTCTGTGTGTGTCTGTCCCATCACCAGTGTGCGCTGTGCCTGTCTAATTCAACACCCAAAAAACCCCTCTCAATTTGACTTCTCCAAAGTTAAGTGAGTATCCATTCTGTTTTCTCTTCCATTTCCCTACCTCCCCTTCTCTCTCTCTCCGCTGCTCTCCCATTCCTGTTTTCTCAAGGATGTTCCCACAGAACTAGGATCCCCGATCTCCCACTTCTAAGCCCGAGAGGGGAGACCAGAACCCCTCCCTCCCCGCTTGGCCTTGGGAGCAGTGTGTTGGGAGAGTGGGTAATAGCTAGGGAAGGGCTGTGTGCAGCAGGGGCAGCCGGGAGCTGCTTTTCCTTCCCGAGCGCTTGGGCACACATGGAGCGAGACATGGTCCCTGCCCCAAAGAGTTCACATTCCTGGCTCACAATTGCTGTCCATGGAGAGCTGCAGCATCACCAAGCCATGGGAGCAAGTAGGGCTCCCCGGATGGCTGTGCTTACATCCCTGGACAGCAGTACCGAGCTTAGAGGGAGCTGGTGCTTCACTCTTCTGCCTCGGGCAAGGGCTGTGTTCCTTGCAGCCAGGTCTCTGCAGCCCCTGAGAGCAGCTGCCTGGCTTTGGTGGACTCACGCTGGATTGGCGCCCGTAACACTTGTCTGTCAAACCTACGTCCCTTTCTAACCATGCCCCGCGCTCCCTGGGACCGTGGACTTTGATGCCCTGGGACTGCCCCACCGCTCGCTTAGGCCAGTTTGACACCAGCATCACTGTGCTGAAGACACCGGGCGGGATTGTCTGTCGCCCTGTGCCTCGCACCCTGTGCAAAGCAGGGGGGCCCAGCGCTCGCTCTGAGCTGGTGTGAGTGACTGCACAAGGTGCACGGTGATGATGCAGTGAGGCTGCAGTGAAGCCTGGCTCTGTTGCTCCTGCATGGGGGTGAATGGGTGAGGACACAAATATGGACCAGGGGGTTCATTTGCTGTGGGACAAGCGGGGCTTTTGCCCCCTCCCCAGACTGTCCATAGGTCTAGATGCTCCACTGTTCTACCCCCCCGATGTTGCAGGATATAATATAACCACATACAATGTTCCATACGCTGACACACCTCCCTCCCCTTCCACAATTTAATGTTTTGACGATGTCCCTGACGCAGGCCCAATTGCTTTAAACACCCAGCCCCAGCCCCAAACCCAGGGGAGGTGATTAATGAAAAAGGAGTGGCCAATAGGATCTGGGGTGGGGGCAGGGTACGCCACCTCCACCTCCCTGACCCCACCCCAGAATAATCACCAGCCACATTTCCAGGAGAGCTGGCCCTGTCCTCACTTGCCAACCCTCTGCATGGAACCCGCTAGATGGGAATCAAGTTGGCCGGGCCAGGTTCTGAGTGAGTGTAAATTGCCATAGCGCCATCCAAGTCAGTGGAATTACGCCCAATTACACCAGCCAAGGGTCTGGCCCTTTGTTATTATAGTGAGATGACTAGCAAGACAGGCCTCTGGGTGTGAATGCCAGGCAGGGACAATGATTTATACCCCTGGGGCTCAACGCAGGAGCCTTAATCAAGTCCTGACTCACGGGACTCCCAGGATTGCTCGCATGAGTACAGGTTGCAGAATTGGGTCTAAACAGCTTCCTTTCCCTACTGCCTGCTTGTCTGAGCTACTCCATCCTGCAAGCCCCTGATGCTTTACGCCAGTGACTTTCCCTCTTGGGAGATTTTCACTTCTCTCTGCAATAAACGCAAACTGAGTGTTCCGGTCGATTTAGCTGCTGCAAAAGCCTGGGTTGAGAACCCCTCGCCCTGGGAAGTGGGGCAGGATCCAGCTGTCACATTCAATGACCATTAAAATCTAAAACAAAATTCTGACCAAAGACCTTTTTTCCCCTTTCCAGAATCTCCCTGCGTGGCCCTTTCCCTGCCTCCGAGTGCGGTGTCACCAAATGCAGCACGTGACTGCTTGTGACAGGCAACACGACCCTGGACAGCCAAAGCTGTGTATCTGGACTCAGGACCACCTCCCCCCCACCAGCCTAGGAGTATGGGGTGTTTGGATCTAAGGTTTCTTTTGTAGAGCCCTCACAACACCCAAAAAACCCCTCTCGACTTCTCCAAAGTTAAGTGAGTGTGTGTGTGCCAAAGGTTATATCAAAGGGCTAACAGAGGGTGGGTGGGGAAATTCTCTGTCTTGAATATTGTCCTTCTAAATTTATATGGAATGATCTATCTATCCCCCATATACCCATCTATCTATCTATCTATCTATCTATCTATCTATCACCATAGTATGTCACCACCTGGTACCTCAGCAATGAATCTGATCGCAATCTATCAGTGTATCTCTAATGCCCACCTCACCCCGTCTCAAGCAATTGCCTTACCCCTAACCGGACGACATCCTCAATCTCTGAAGTTCCTCTGGCTTTTCTCTGCTTGCAGGACG